GTCAACTTTATGTTTAACGTTTTGTTTTCTGCCTTCTATAATTTTCATGGAAGGTTACTAAGCGAAATACAACCACATGTTGCTGAGATATTTGCAAAACTCTGGACCGCAGGTGTCTATGATGGGGAACGAACGCGCTATTATCCTTTCCGGGGAGTAACGTGTTCACCACCACACCATGCAGGACCTTCGTTTCCATAGCTTAACTGGGTTCTATGCCGATTTGCGCTCCCCAGATCAACCCCGCTGACGGGTGATTGCTGTGGCAAAAAGATCGATAGAAATAGCTAAGAGACAGGCGAAACGAAGGACCCGCATGGTGTGGTGGTGAACGCGTTACTTCCCGGAAAGGATAATACCGCGTTCGTTCCCCACCATAGACACCTGCGGTCCAGAGTTTTGCAAATATCTCAGCAACGTTGTGGTTGTATATCGTCAGCTCTCTTCATCAATTAGTTGACTCGATTCATCGGTAGGCCACCGCGAGTCATTGTAAAGGCCGGATATGCACTCAATCACCTCTAAACGATGTTTAATAAAGTGGAATGCATGGCGCATCCCTTAGAGATTGATCAACGCCGAGAGCTTTATCCTTTTACCCTTTAACTAAATATGTTGAAGTAAACGCTTCCCAACATGTTTTTTTTAAAAATTTATAAAGGTACAAGTACCGAAATTTCAGGATGGTTTTCGTCAGCAGAAGCTTCAGGATATTTCGATTACTTCACGGCGTGGAATATTCTCACCGTTAACACCAAATGGACGAATTATTGTGAACGATATGTTGGCATCCTGCTATAGCGATGTTAACGAGGCCACCTTGCAAAACACCTATTTCTCCGTGAGAAACCAACTCAATTGTTTTACCGGATTTCGTATCTTTTACCTTTACTGCTTTTCCAAAATGAGCGTCACAAAATTTCGTGGTCAAGTGGTTAGTGTTGTGTAGTATAGGCATGGTCGATGGTCCTATTCCTAGACCAATCAAGAGTTCTATCGCGCCTGAGTCGACAAATTGGTGCTAGATTTGTGCATGGAAGATTATGTTCGCAAATGGAGGTGATTATACTTGTGGTGAGAAACTTGCATCATTCTAGTTGAATTGGCTCCGAATTCCACCGAGGATCAACACGCTCAACATTTAACAACATTCATGAAGAACTCAAAAACTTTAACTTCTCATCCAGATTCTGTGCAGATTCCGGCACAAGATCGTGGAGAAGGCTGAAGTCATGATCCCAAGTAAACTCGTGTATCTTAAATGTTTTAGCTCGATCCTTTCTAGCTGCAATGTCAACATATCCAAACTCTTTTTGAAGGCTAAACACTGGTTCTTCACTGTTCCCCTCGTCGACAGGCGAGTCACTGCCAGAGTGCAAATCTGATGACCCATCAACAAGCGCAAGGAAGTGTAGTGCGTTGTTTGCAGACATCTCACCACCATCGATTGTTGGGCGCTAAAGGCTTGCCATGCGACGGAGGAGTTCATCGACCTCGCCAGTCTGTGTCCCGGTGTTTTCCCTATTTCACAGGGAACAATCAGGAAATTAACGGCGAGGTGGCTCTAACATTTGGCTGGGATAGACAGCTCCAACGCCATGTACGAATGAACACAGGGCGTGTGTGTGACTAAGGATGATCACTGCTGAGGTAAGGTCGTTGAGCGACCAAGCCATGCTTGATGCGCTACAACCCTATTGATGTCATCCAAGTATAGAATTTTCGGCTCATCCACATATTTCAGCCCTCTTAACCATTTCGTATCACCACTGCTACGCTCGAATTCTCGTTCATGAAGATTTATAAGGAATGAACAACGTTGCTTTGTGGCGGCCGTAATAGCCATGTAATGGCGAATGGAATCCATTAAATTACCGACACCATAATACAAAGTGCTGACTGTCTCAAGAAAGATCTAGTCACAACTCTGGTGCTGCTTGGTGAACTGTAATAACGGAGACCATAAGCCTTTGAGATGTCTAGCCATCACGAACAAAGGTAACATTTTGGTGGAAACGGCACAAATGTGAACGAAGCCAATCACTTCCACACCACGAAGAGGCACCTTCCTCAAACTTAGGTAAATGAACCAGTGTTTAGCTTTCAAAAGGAGTTTGGTTATGTTGACTTTACAGCTAGAAGGGTTTGAGCTAAAACATCTAAGATACATGAGTTTACTTGGAATCATAGCTCCAACCTTCTCAACTATCATGTGCCGGAATCTGCACAGAATCTGGATGAGAGGTTCGAGCTTACGCAGAGACTTACGTACTCTTTCATGGGTGGTTATGAGAATGTAGATACGACGGTGTATAGAAACGTTGTATGAAACTATATTCAAAGGCTTTAAGTGGAAGCCGGATCGACGCGTAAGTCGGATAACTTTCGTGAATGGCAGATACGAGGAAACGAATCGAATGGAAGGAATTATGTGGTATCAAGTGATGCCGGTGAAATAATAGTAATAGGTATAATAACTTAATGATAATACCCTATCACCTTTAGGTGTCTGTAGTGGAGTGGTTAGAGTTACACTGCTATACACTGATGGTCAGTCTTGATGGTCTAATTTCACACCCCGGACCCGCCAAGTTCTCTGCCCTTCGGGACGACAATTTGGTACCAGACTTGCCTGAGAGGATAAAAACACTGATTTGATACATCGAGAGGCTACCACATGTATGTGCCAGATATGGATTCAGTCACGTCTACGATACTTGACGAAGTCAAATGCATTACGCACCCCTCAGAAATTGATTAACACCGGAAGCTTTGTTTATGCTTCTAAATATCCTATGTACCTGAAGTATCACGTGTACAAATCTACGCATGTTTTATTAAATTGCTGTTGTAGGCAGAGTATAATTTTTTCTAGCTGAAAAACAGGTGAAACGAAGGACCGGCATGGTGTAGTGGTGAACGCGTTAGTCCCCGGAAGGGGTAGTACCGTATTCGACACCCGCCACAAACACCTGCGTTCCGGGGTTTTGCAAATATCTCAGCATCATTGTGGTTTTTTCTACCACTTGAAGTTCCGGGAATCCAAAGCTGCCCAGGTCGTTCTCAAGTCGTCACAACAAGCAGTGAACGAACACATAACATTGTACTCTTCTGATTCAGGTTACGAGGGAATCAGAAGTGGGGTCGTGTGCTGTTCCTACTATTTGATAGTGTGATGGGAATAGTAATTCTTTTCATTATCAGAAAATTAGTAAGAGGTCATGTCGTTTTATGAGCTCCAATTAATTCAGCTCGCATTTCTAATTGTTTTAAGACGTCCTTAGGTTGTAGTGGTTCGAAATTAATGTTTTATTTCAGTTTAATATTAAAATCCTTTGCATATTCAGATGATAACATCTATTCGAAGACGACTGCTCAATCTGTTTGGTTCATGGATAAATCAATCTGTAAGTGTGATCAATACAATAGTTTCAAGTGTACTAGCATTTCCATGCATTTCCTGGCTCCGGCCATCATTAGTGCTACATATAGCTCTTACTGTTCAAGGTCGATTTTTGTTTAATTTAGATCGACCTACCGTTCGGGTCCGAGTTATCATTGGAGGTGTTACGACTGGTTGTTCCATACGTCAAATAGAATCTCTCCATAAAAAAATATTAAATGAATTGCACTTAATGTGTTGTTTTTCCATTTCTCCTTCGTCAACAGTTTTTCATTGCTGTGAACACACTCATAGGCTCCCCATATTTCTTTCCTCCTTTCATATACATCTCTATTTTTCTGGCGTTACAACCACTCTCATCGGTCATTCTAAGTACCATCACGACGAATTCATGCTTATCACTTAGTATTCGCAACGAAGAGAAACAATAACATGTCGTGGTGAAAATTGGAAATGCAAATTAGGAGGAGGCGCATGTTTTCGACCGTTGTGCTAATATGAGCCTGCATATTTCATCTACATAGGTTGCACCTATAATAAAATTGTCTGATTTCCTCTATTTTCACTGAGCAGTCGACTTCACTCTTCATCATTAACAGAAATTCTTCTGGCTTTTCTTTTCCAGCAGAGATCTAAGTATCTTCCAACACTATGAATACAATCACTGGTGTCGTTGTTGTTGTTTTCGTTAATGTATAAACCTTCATATTATTGTTAACGTTATCGTTATTGCCATTTGCAAGTCCCAGTTCTTAACATGTCTACCGTGATTCCAAAGTGAAGAGTTTGACGAAAAGTTTGAGACCTTCATTAAGAAACCCGGCCAAGAATAAACCTGTACCAGAGCAGAAAACTGTGAAGCTCTTTGCATTTATTCGTTGTTCATAGTCAATCGGAGAAATGTGATGTGCCACAGAAAATGATGGAGTCATTTTTTATTGCTCGCCAGAGTTACTCTTCGATTACTGGTCGCTGTTATAAGGTTACATTCACCAGTCGTTGAAAATCACTTTCATCTGTTTTTCCTCTATTAATCGTCGAGTAACATTAGAGAGCACCGGTGCTCTATTTGCCGCTGTCGTGCTCACAAACACCTCAGTAAGTCATTTTCGCTTCAGGGAATCGCTAAACATAACGTTCTTATACTAGGTTGTTAATAAATAATCCTGGGCATAGGCTTGGTGGTGTTCCAGCTGTTGGCTTCGTAACCCGCGGTACGAAGTCGTTAACGGCTCTTTTTCATCTGATATAGTTTAGAACTAGCGTCCAGGTTTCCATCGTGTACATTAAGGCAAGAAGAATCATTGCATGGAATAGGTGGACACAGAAGTTCGATTCTCATGAATGCTCTCAAGCGCTTCGCTTTTTCTTTCTGGGCGCTGAGGCCTAGCTCATTCATCATATTGATTCCTTAAACCGGGTGGACATAGATGTAAAATTTTCGTTCAGAAATCTGCGACGCTGAGAGTAAATGGACATTGAAAACGTGCTTTCATCATGAACATCGTCGTGAGATTTAATCGAAGAACAGTTCCCCGAAAGTGCCTTCAGAAGCGATCAGAATTCGTTCTGCCTGACTGATGCATGAACTCGTAAGAATGACACATGCGCAAAACAAAAACGGCGCAGATTCTGGCCATTTCTCGAGGGTGCCTGCACGTAACTTCATGCTAACCGCCTTCTTCTCCTTACTGGTTCCTCTCTTATCATCGATGTTAACTTTGCTGCGGAGTAGTGTTATTTCTATTCGAAATTTTTTCGTATTTAACGAGCAATCTTTATATAATTTTCAAAGCAACCGTCATTTAACCTCGGTTATAGAATAATCTATATCTTTAGAATTGTTGAGCTTACATGAGGTTGATAAGGAACTTTATTCGGCTAACGTCTCGACGTCTTCGTCTTCATTAGAGCCGATGATCCGTGTCGATGATCCACATTTACTCGTTCTCTCGATTTGGCGTCATCGTTCTCGCACCGAGAGAGATCTTCTTCAATAAACACCGCACGAATGAGGCATGATCTAACGTACTCGAATACAGCTCGACAACTATCGTCATTGTGGTGAGCTAAACAGAAGTTAAAGAAGAAACCATGTTCTAGATACACAAAGGATTTCAAAAGGGCTTTCCTCAGGTGTAGATTTTTTGCTTAAGATCATCTTCCAGTCAGGATCTTGGGTTGTTTTTTGTCATTTTGTGGAGCCAACAATGTTAGTCGTTGTTTAAGCAGTCGAAAAAATTTTCTATGAATCATGGATTCTATTGCGATGCTCATGTAGTCTTGATAAACTAAACTTTTTCAAAATCTATTGAATTTATGATAAACCCTAGTTCTTTACAGTTCTTGTTTTTCTGTGAATTATTCATCTCTAATAACCCGTCGTTTTCGTCTTAAAATGCAGTTTCCTAGGGGAACCAATTTTTTCTACGATTTCACAGTCTTGGCTAAATACCAATAACTTTACTAAACTTATCATTCATCCTGCTAATAGTCTCAATGAGACCATAGTTTTGTTATTACGGCCTTCGTGTTTTCTCAATCTGTGAGGAATATTTGAGTCATGAGACAACTTTGCGCTATAACGAGAACCCCATATTGGAATCTCAATTAGCAGCAGTCGCCATCTGGGTCCATCCCGACATTGAATAGAATTTCGCCATGGCGACATCGAATATTCATTGAAAATAATGCGTTCAATAAGACTACCTACAATCATCAACTAAGTGTGCGATACATTAACTCGTCGCCAGATTTATATTTGATTCAGCTCTTTATGTCCCTTGTAAAGATCGCTTGAACTTACGTTATATTGGTAAGTGTGACAACATCTGACATCATCACTTTACGTGGTTTTTAACATAAACGTGTTCTTCAGCGTACCCGATGAAAATCACCCTCAAGTTATGACTGACTACATTTTGGTTAGCTCATCTCACGCTGGTATTGGTCGTTCCGGTTGCAAGCACGTTGTCATTGTGTAGTCGATTCACTACCGTATTCGTTCGTCTACTTAACGGCAAATTCATGAGTCTTAGCGGCCAAACTAGACTACGCAGCTGTGCAGCATGTCTTTGTTCACAAAAGTAAACACATAATGCTATAAACAAACCCATTAATGTTGTCCATTTTCCAATTATCACTGGTGTTGTCAATTGTCGCCTTCATTATCTCTCATTGGTTCGTTTCGTATTCTTCTCTTTTGACAGAGTTTCGATTTCAAACTCATCGATATTTTTTAGGTTAGTTAGGCATTTTCGATGGCAGTTCTGTCCTTCTGATTATCAGACCGTACATGAAAGTATTTTCAAGAATATTCCGCCATGATGTGCTTGCAGTTGGTGTTGCGTCTATTCAGGAATCCACGGGTCCAGGTAATGTATAGAGAAATGCGACAGTTTTTTTTCTTAGGCTTGTGTTTACTTCACGCGTTAGAAAGTGTGGCTTTGAATTTACCAGTGATTAATTTGAATAATGTCAACTGGGTTCATAGCAGTCCTAAAATTCGATCCTTAGTCCGCTCACTAGAAAGCTGATATATTTATACATCCTTAGAGAGCGATTCTATGTTGTTGAGTAATGTTTTCTTTTTCTAAAAATTGTCGATGCTCTCTCGAATCTCATCTCTTTATGGAGACATTTCTTTAACGACTCTCATTTAAGTGCTGTTCTAACTCTGTTTTCATTATCTGCCCATCCGTGTCTGCATTGGGTTCAGCTGTGCCAATGACGAATCAATAGTGTTTTAATAGCATTTCAATAGTAACCGCTTTTGGAAACCGGTCAAATCGTTCACGTCGATTCGCTCGTCTGCAGTTTTTCGTCGAGCATACTCGAGTTTTAGTTACAGGTCCTGCACTCAAATTGTGTGGTATTGATCTAAATGCTTGGGTTTATGTAGTCGTCACATCCACCTGCACTTCTGACGATTGCCATCGTTACATGTTTATGTGATCTCCTTTAATTAAACGACATTGTCAACGCTGACAATAACATTTCGAATGCCAATTTGATTAATCCAATGTTGAGCTTAATGCATGGATTCGCAAGCCAAGTCCACGAACGATTTCGTTGGTTGAAAATCTGTAATTCCGCGAATGAAGAATAAACTTCTGAGCAAGTCATAAGGATTGCGAACGTATCACACAACTCTCCTTCAGTCGTGCCTTTTTCGCAATATTTTACCATAACAATATCGAGTTATGAGGAAACCCGGAACTTTAGGTGGACTTCGATTTTGCGCTCAACCTTTCTCGAGGTCACGTGGACCTCACCAACCCAAGCTTCTACTTTACCTTTTCCTCAACTAGGCGGTACTATCAGCAATCGCTGGTCAAAAAGAATGATATGACGAGCTCAAATCAGCATCGAACCCAGAGGGCAGCAGTGGAGCCTCGGATTATGTGATAGGAAGCGCGTAAACCCCCTGAAAGGATAATCTGTTGTTTGAACACCACCTGAGGGTTCCTTGTTTTGCTGATATATTAGCACTGTTGTAGTGCTATTCCACTTAATACCTTATCATGGAAAAAGGATACGCAGTAAATGAAAGTTGAACATTGTGTTTCAACATGCTTTTTACTCAACTATTCGTCCATGACGTCAACAAGTCCATTTTCTCCCGCCTCTAGTGCATTCATTTTTACTAGCCCGAAGGAATTGAGCACCTAATCCTGTCATATTTTGAAGTTTTGAGATATCTAGGAAAAAAGTTTTCTTCAATTTAGAACTCTTCTCATTAGCAATGAGTCCAATCAACTGTTTCTTTTCGTGAACTTACATTCAGTTTTTGATAAGGGTTCTAATTTACTAACTCTGATTTCAGTTTTCTCTTATGCACAATATCCAGAAGAGGAACAGATTCGAGGTATTGTTGGGTATTGCTGGGGAATTGTCACTCATTTAGTAATCTCACTCTATGAGTGATCGAATATATCTGACCACATTTTCGCAACAGTTTTATATAAGTGAGATATTTCACGCATGTACTTGCCGTCTCATTGACGACATCTTCGTCTAGAAAGCGAAACCGTTTACACTTCATTGTTCGTTGCTGTTGTTGGTGTTGGCGTATGCGTTTGCTGGTGGTTTCATATTCAATCACTTGGAAGCAGAAGCGTATGAACGTCATCATGAAGAGAATCGTAATAAGAAGATGAGCTGCGTTCTAGAGGTACAACGAACGTCAAAATACGTTCTTGTTTCATTTGTCATGTTTTTCTCGTAATCATGTTTTTCTCGTAAATTATCCTCCTATGCGAATTCTTTCATTCATTTCATGCAATAGTAGTTTATAAGTGGCAAGAAGCTGTGCAGCAAATTATTCTTAATGCAGAAATGATGAATAACTGTAAATAAATTGCGAGGTGGTAATAACTTAGTGTACTAACTTAGCTTATCACAAAATTGTCGCCCATTTCACTGGAAAGTCCATGGCGGAATGTGACTGCAAAGAAAATCGCCAACTGCTATGAACCGGAAAGGTGAGCGGCAGCCATCATTTTAAAATCTCACCACAACTGAACTAAAATCTCTCGATTGCTGAACGTGACGATCCAAGAGAGATGGCTAAAAATTGTAAAAGTAGGGAAACAGTGAAGGGAAGTATGAGTAGATACCCAAATTTAGATGAGAAATTTCTATGCGATAAAAAGTTCGCGAAACGCTACCGCTAGCAAAATTTTTCTTCCATAGAAAGGAGGTTTGTAAAAGACTAGGAAGCACCATTAGGGGAAAAGAGACCTACTGAAAAAATGACATGAAGCAAGTTGCTTTGACGTATTGCACCAAGAAAGCTGAAACGTCATCGAGTATTTTCACTGCCTATTTTTAAGGGTATGTTTAAGGGATGAGCGAAGTGAATGGTCATTTGTAACCGCCACGCTCTATGGTTTCGGTATTGTGACAACACTTGGTAAGATATTAAATGTTTTGCTTGTGAAACTTGCATAGACTACAGATAATCGGCTTATTAGCACTAAACGATTAGTAGTAAAATTTTTCCCATTACATGTAATATTGTGAATTCTCAAAACTGTTTTGATGCTTGTAAGGGATAAATGGTATAAGTGTTCATTTAATAATCAATCCCTTAACGATCCTCTGCGCATTCATCTCTATTGTTAGCACCGCATAGGTATGGTTGGAGGCACACGTATACTATGACTGGCGCTAGCTTGTCGTTGAATGTAGACAGTATTTTTATCCTCCTATGAAAGTCTGGTACTAATACGTGCAAAGCTCTGTACGCCCTTGCAGTGGGATCCAAAGCCAAGACCACGCGTTTGCTTCAAGACACCACTAACCACTGCATCATACGTACTCCAATGTTTCGCATCGATTACGGTTTCCATCAACCTTAGTAATTTAGTTATTAGTTATTTTCCATACTGATGACGTCATTAGTAAGTTGAAACATTTTTATTTCAAATCGCCTGATTAGCTCGATTGTCAAAACGTTGTCTTTATTCAAATAACTCTTGTCTTACCAATGCATTTGAAAATTTTATGGATATGGCAATTTTTTACGCAAGGATTTTTTTAATCGATTTATGTAAACTTGGTTTGGTGCGCATTTCATTTTCCACAGTTTTAATGCTTAAAATTCTCTAATTGCTCGGATAACCCTACCAAACCCCTTTGTGAAGTTGTGCTTTAAAGAACTGTTTTAGTAGAAATCTAAGCGTCTCTGCTGGTAAATAACTATCCCTTATGGCGCTATTTTGCTTGATACTTGATACTTGAGTGGTCCGTCCTCACTAGTTGTTCGGGTCCCAGCAGAATTTCCATTTTTTGGGGATTTGCTGGTTTAGCCATTGTGGTTTCCTGGAGTCCAGAGGTTAGTCAGACCAAGGTCTGCCCCAGGAGCTCTATTTTATAGCTTTTTCATGTAAGGCGTCGACAACTTCTTTTTTCCGATAGAACTAGCTGAGAGACAGGCGAAACGGAGGACCCGCATGGTGTGGTGGTGAGCGCGTTACTCCCCGGAAAGGACAATAGCACGTTCGTTCCCCACCGCAGGCACCTGCGGTCCGGAGTTTTGCAAATATCTCAGCAATCTTGTAGTTGTATTTCGCTTAATACCCTGCGATAAAAATAATAGAAAGCAGAAAATAAGAAGTAAACATTGTGAAATCCTTTCTTGTTTTTTGAGCTTTATATCCTTCCATAATATATTTCGACTTCTTAATAAACTTAGAGAGGATTTAACTATTCTACATTCAAGCAGAAACATTTGCTTTATCTTATTTGCTTACTGGATAAAGTTAAGGTTATAATCGCATTGCACCTATCACATACGCGGGTCGACTTTTTTGCATTGCTTACGGTATTTGTGGTATACCAATTACAATGATTATTATCGCTAACGTCGGACAGTATCTGAATAACTTTGCTAGCGATTCGAGGCGTAGGGTAAGTTTACTGTGCCATTATTACATTTTATAAGGGATTTACTGTCAATTAAACTGATAGTGAAAAATTGGTTGAAAGGATTTTCATGCTTATCAAATGGTGCAATTGTTTCAAACTAGTAATGCATTCAAAATGAGTGCAGAAATTATAACTCTGGAGACGGATAACAACGGAGCTTGTTGCTTGCTTGATATTGTAAGAAAACGAACTGAGCTAGACTGACACATTCGTGGCAGCACAAACTATATGAGGTTTGCAAATGAAGTCTTGAGAGTAAGAATGGACGGTACGATTCATACATGATTTATTTTCTTTCCAGCTGCTTATTCTCAAATTAAGAGTTTTCTTGCCATAGATTTATCTGTTCCCCTATAGTTGCGAGAAAAGCTTTATCCTCGTATACTTATGCTTAATAACTTACCAAAAACTGTTTTTCGTTGCGAGTTATCTTTTCCGGCGCAGAAGATGTAAGAGAAAGATAATTTATCTCATACCATGAAGTCTGCTGCTGATGAGAAGATTAATGGATTATTTCACACATAGTATATAGACTACGAGTAATATGCTTCCACAGAACGTATCTTTTGAAACAATAAATTTTTTCAATCTGCTATCTTTACTGGAAGTGTCATTTCTCAATTTCGCTTCTCAAAGCGACCAAGTCATCGTATATCGTTCAAATACACGGCTATTAGCAGTCGTAGAAACACTGACAATTTAAAGGAAACGCAAACGCTTAGGTACACTTGTGATTTGAAATCATTCATTTCCATTTCCTCCACACTTTTGAAGTAGAGTTTCAATGCCTTTTACTGAACTACTAAGTGATTACGTAGAATAGTTACCGTGCACATCTAAGTCGTGGGAAAATAGAGAGTAGTCCACTTTATCAAGAAACAGAAATATGTCTACAACTTGGTAGGCCTTTTGAAACGCGGAGAACACGACTTTAACCGGTCATTTTTGTCAGCGATGACTTCTCTTTGGCGCCATACCGCGTTTATCAAACTTCATTGCAAGGATAAAACAGAAAACATCCCTTTTTGTTTGCTTCGTCTCCATCTTGTTTGTTCGGATCGTCTTTGGCTTCTTTGCTCGCATCGCCTTCATAATCTTTATTCTTTTAAGTCTTCAATTTTGATGAGTAGTAAGTCGGAAGTGAAGCTGAATTCATCTTCCGGAAAAATGATTTCGTCAGTCTTTTAACTAGGCTCCCTTTTAAATCAACATGGTAAATCATGATTGTCGTATGGATTGAAAAGGTTTGGAGGCCGAAATATATTTAGCATGCATTGTGAGACCGGTAACAATGAGCTAACAGTAGTATTGTGGAAAAGTGAACGAGTTGTTTTTATCACATACGACTGGGAAACGTTCGAAAATCATGAAGTGACACACAGAACAACATGGGATATATATGTACATATATGTGGAATATAAAAAACAAAAAAATTTCAGTGAACTTTATGGCTTTCCCGAATCACTGAGCCATAAGCACGAAGAGTGGCGCACTATCATTTCTTAGGGAGAGATGTACAAAAAACTGGCGCATATTGCAATTCAAAAGAGCATCGACAAAAATAACTCTTCGCAAATATGTTAAATAAGAGTATAATAAAAGTGTGGTGGTGTTTTATAAATGACAAAATGGGTCGCCTGATAACACCACTGACTTTGAAAGAGAGCAAAAAAACCTGGATTTTGAGTTGTGAAGACCATTGGTGTTGGCGATAGCCCTCAAAGTGAATGTTTAGAAACTCTCTAATAAAAGGATAAGTGGATAAAGCTCTCAGTGTTAATCCATTCTTGAGGGATGCACAATGCATTCGAATTTATTGAACATCGTTAGAGGTAATAACTGAATACTCGCGGACCATGGAAGGATGGAAGGCTTGGAGAGCCTGGGATGCGGAATTGATCCTATGTGTATTGCAAGGCGCCTCTAACTATTGGGATAGACTCGCCACTTAGACTCCTTCCATTTAGCAATATTTTATGGAACTTTTTATGTTCGCCACCATGGCCCTGAATTATTGGAACTTTTTAATATTAAAAAACTAAAATAAGCAACAATGAGCTTCATTTTGATTTCATTGGGAACCATAATTAGTTCACCGACCCCTCTTCGAGCTCTCTCAAAAGACGAATTGCGTCATTCTTTTGGTACGGTGTCCTTCTAGATTTTTTTTTTGTTGAGCAGAGTTGAGTTTGTTGTTTTTTTGTTGATCTGCATTTTTATGGTTCCTGTTTTCTTATACCTGTTGTAAAATTTCCATTTCACTGATAATTTGCCAGAGGGGCAGGGTATTCTGTCTACGGAGTCTCGAATCGTCACACCTCTTGTGTACCGAAGATCGACATTGTTAAACATCATATGGCTAGGATGATGAGGCAAATCAGTGGGATATTGTTCTAGTTCCTACACTGTGCCGAAATTACATTAAAGGTTAAAAGAGAGAGTGTCCAGGGTGATATGCCGTGTCGAAATTGGTTTAGAGAATAAAGCAAAAAGCGTCGGTCGTTGACAAGGGTTTACTCTTAGCTGAAATTTAAACGGAAAACATTTCATTTCCACGACAGACTTCCTATTAATCTCGGTATTGATCGAACAATGCTTTATATTGCGAGGAAGGGAAATCCCCCGAAACATCAGCTCATAAATCACCTGCATCACCTGTAGTCTCGTTGATCGTCGAGTGACTCGAGCGGGCGCCAGTAAATCTTTCATTTTTCCCTGTCGCGTGCAAGAGTATCCTAGTGGATTCTACTCGCTCTAGGGATTCGTCGAGCATCATATCTTTCTTCTAGGCTCTTCGTGAAGAACTCTGGCCATCGGGTCGGTGGTCTTCCTGCAGTACCTTTGACATCCCAAGGAATCCAGTTACCAACGGCTCATGTCCATCGGTTGTCATTCCTGGAGCTAGGTCGTTCGTCATACTGACTCTCCGACCTAGATAGATATAACTGGAGCATTCGAAGATATTCGTTTCGTTGAGCGTGAATGGGGCAAGCGAAACCAATCCGTTCTTCATGAACATCGTTTTTGTGAGATTAGTCGAAGACCAATCTTTCCACAGGCTTTATCAAAGTTGGCAAGCATACCGTCCGCTTGGCTAATGTTTGGTGTTATAAGGACAATGTCATCAGCAAAGCGAAGATGGTGTAACTGCCAACCATCGATTTTCACTCCCATATTGTCCCATTCCAACGTTCGCATGACGTTCTGGAGTGTGGCGGTAAATAATTTTGGCGAGATGGAACCGCCTTGCCTAACGCCTCTTTTGACGTCAATGTTAATATCGTTGTAGAATAGTGACACCTTGGTTGTGAAACTTTTTACAGCTCACGAAGGATCTTTATGTACTGAGTGGGGACTCCTTGACTATCAAGGGCTTCCAAGACTGCTTCTATCTCCTCTGAATCAAATGCCTTATGTAAATCTATGAAAGTGAGACAAAGAGGTCTTTTGTACTCTTCGATACTTCAATGAGCCTTTTTACCGTGTGGATACGGTCCATCGTATTAAATCCTTTTCGGAACCCTGCTTGCTCCCATGGCTGTCCTTTGTCTAGTGTTCTGTCAATCCTCTTTAGGACGACTCGAGTGAAATGCTTGTAGACGACAGACAGTAAATAGATTGGGCGATAGTTGCCGATATCGTGCAGGTCACCCTTCTTGAACAATAACACGGTCTTGCTGGTCTTCCACTGAGTAGGGACCTTGAATTCAGACAGGTAACGTGTGAAGAGCTGAGCCAGTGTGTTTACGAGGACTGGCGGAAGGTTCTTCAGGTGTTCTGGTCTTATCCTCCCCGGACCTGGTGCTGTTCGATTTTTCACCGACGAAATGGCATTTCGTATTTCGGAAGGGAGAACCGGTGGCACAACATATCCATCCTCCTTTATTTTATCTGACGGAAGGTGGACGTGGCTATCGAAGTGATCCGAGTAGTATTCGTGAATGGTTTTCTCCATTGCTTTTCTGGACGCTGTAATTGTTCGGTCTTGGAGTTGGAGTGCAATCATTTCTCAGCCCATAAATAAAGATGTAAAGTAAGACCTCGTGTTTGCTCAACGAGAATATAAAGAAAGTATTTAACTTTTTTTCAGCTTGGGTGGCTTCTGATTTGGGATGAACCCTCACTAGATTTCACATTTGCATACCGAAAAACACTCACTGATGGTGCTATTAAGCACAGGAGAGGGGTTCATTATCAATACTTTGCGCTCAAAAAAGGAAAAATCTGTGAACTTACGAAACTGTGGAAGAAATATATAGAAGCATATGAAATTGAGTTTATTATTAATAACAATGAGTGAGGCGCGTGTGGCGCGGAGGTCTGAGACGCCCTGCAACACACACGTGGAATCGATCCTCGCGCCCATGGCACACCAAGCGTTCCATCCCTCCGGGGTCGCTAAATTTGGTCCCAAACTTGTATAAAGAGTAGCAGCACTAGCTTAATATATCGGTAGGCCACCGCAAGTCATTGTAAAGGCCAGATATACATTCAATCACCTCCACGCGATCTCTAATGAAGTCGAATGCATAGCTCATCCCTCAGGGTTTGATCAACTCCGAGAGCTTCACAGCTTTTAACAATAAGTGGAAATTATAAAACCATAAGAGAAACATTAAAATATTGGAAATTCTTAAATGACTGCCATTCTGTAAATCAAACAAACACCATATTACTGTATCAACATCTGGTTTCAGTTAGAAGCGTATCGTACTCAACGGCGAATATCACGCGCTTCATTGTCTGGTAAAGAATACAAGGTAAGATCTGTACGAAATTTCGACGTTCTATAGACTAAACTCAGTCATCTCACCTTCTCGATCCACAGGTCATTTCTAGACCTCTTTGGGCATTCTCTCGTTTTTATGTGTTATTTCAGAACATCTAACCGGATTTTTCCTAATGAAATTTTTGTCGCTGTAGTTCATCTATATAGGAATGGGCAACTTCCACTAATAGAAGCTTCGCAGTGCTCTCAAGAACTGTCTTTGATCCTTGAAGGGTTGTATATTCTGTTGGCGAGCACTTTTTTTCCAAAAAAACCTAATAAAACTCCCAAACCTTTTTTGTTCCATCACTACCTAAATTTAGATGGTTCATTTTACGTTGTCAGTTCAGTAACGGATTTAATTTGCAAGCATCTTGCTGGCTGTGAAAGTTTTTTCTTCTCGGGTCCTGAGGATTGTATTTGCTTTAATCACAAGCAATGGGCTAGAAAGAACTCTGCTGTCTTACGACTAGGATCCTTTCAATAAGGTGCAAAGGTAGAATAACCTGGGATTTCGAATTCAAATGGCATAATTTCAACTTATTATTTACTGCCTACTCTTTTTAACGGCAGGGTATATATTGCGAAATATAACTTTGATGATGCTGAGATATTTGCAAAACTCCGGACCGCAGGTGTCTGCTGTGAGGAACGAACGCGCTGTTGTCCTTTCCGGAGAGTAATGCGTAATACAAATCGTATACTTTGCTTGAATATCCTCAAATGGAGTGAACTCCCTCTGTATCGTGTTTTAAGCGCAAAAGGCACCCCTTTATCTTGTTAGTGCTAGAAATCTTTGAGGTAGCACGACAAATGCATTACATACCTAAAAAAAAGTCCTTTGTGTTTTATAAACTTTCAGTTTTTCTAGGACTCTTCTATACAAGTTACATCACTCGCTTTGTTAATTGCTTTCCTTATCTACGTTGCAATGGGTGCACTCTTACTTCCAGCACTAAACGGACAGGTAATAACCCTATAACGTAATTGTTCCAGTTGCTTTCCTAAAACAGCTTCTAATTTAGGCAATTAATCCAACAAAAGAATAGTGTAGCTTATTTACTTTTTTATTAATTGTCAAATCATGCAAGAATTACTATTGAAGCTTTCTTTCCTTGGATTTTTCTTTGTTTTTTTTCATTCTTCTCTCTTTCTTTTACTTCTGAATTCCTAGTCGTATGGCTACTATCAATTCGCGAAGCAGAGTATTGCAAATGTGTTTTTCATCAGTGAAAGTTTCATTTACTGCTGTAAGACTTTCATTGTATCGTATCGGTTAGTGTATCAAAAGCCGACATGTTCTCTATTGTGCAGCAAGATGGCGTAGTGTGTTCGTCTCCCACTATCGGCCCAGATGGTTTGGTTTGGTAAATTTTTTAAGTCACTAATTTCAACTTTTTGTTCTCTGGTATCCTAATCTTATCAGCAATTGGCCTATGTTAAGATATAGAGCACGGGGACTTTCAAAAGTAAAAGTAATGGATTTACACTAGGTGGATACTGGTCATAAAGAACCGCAGCCATAACAGGATTGCTCCTTGCGGTTAGCTTTCTGTGAAAAGGGTGGTAACTGTTCTCGTTCTTTCACTTTTTTCTACGTTTTCGGATGAAGATGTCCAAAATCTTCTGGCCAGAATAAGGACTCCACTGCAATAACGGAGGTGAAAAAAGCTTATTGGATAAGACACCATCCAGACAACATGCTGATTAACTTCTTTGTAACTCATGTGGTATAATGATAGGTTATTACAAGGGATTTCGACACTTTGTATAAACAGTAGTATAAGATGGATGTAGGGCAGCGCGACACTGGCAGGCGTCTTCTCAGGTATTTCACAACCTTGCTCAAGGTTTTGCTCATTGTTTAGACTCTGCCATGAAGACTCTATCTCACATTTAACCAGTCGTGAATTTACAACATATTATCAGATTTATTGCTAAGTGCAGCAAGTGGTAACTTGATCAAGAGGACATTTTTTCTCTTTTTGTTTTCCACCTTGAGACGAGGATGTTCCCGTCATGCGAGCAACTACGCCATATCGAAATCCAATGCTGTGAATTTTTAAGATAAATCATACCTAGTCAGGCACGATTTTTACTCTGCCGGTGGTTTGCTTACTGGAAAAGGTTTCGAATCTCAGAAGTCTCGAAAACCGTACCGTACTTACCTATGCTGTCATCCAGTTGTACGTAGCAGTTAGACAACCAGAAACAATCCGATGTAACGATAAGGTAATACACGGAAGCCATGATCACTGTAGTCATAACCCCATGTCGAAATTAAGTATAACGCGTAATGTTGATAAATCCCTTATTAATACGCCACGTATCAGAATCCATTCGAAGAAATGATCTAATGCACATTTGGTTTACAAAACGATTTTTGGAAGCTCATCGATGCAGTTAATCAGTGTTTTTATTTTTCTACAAAAGTCTCTGACGAATTGATAACACTGCGAAGTGCTGTTGTGCTTGGTAAGGGCACCCCTCCAATCGCAGCTGTTTCCGGCTGCAGCTTAAGAACTTGCTGTGAATTCATCATCGGTACATTAAATGTCGGTGAAGCGGGATATTCCCTGGGAATCTTGAGATGGCCCTGTGTGGTTTTTACTAAGTGCCAACCTCTGTGGTCCAAGACTCTTGTGGCATCAAAATTCTTGCGTTTAGATGGTCGCTCGACTGATCACGATGTGGTAGGTCGAATTCTAATTCAGTTAAATCACTTAGGAATAAATACTGCTGTAAGCTTCGATGTAAAACTTTTCTGACATTCTCATGAGGACAATCTTCGTATTGAGTTCTTCCTGGTGAACTTGTTGAAATATAACTCCCTTTGTGAGAACTTTTCTCATATTTATTGGGCAGGCGTCGCAGTGGTGTTGATGTCATCCATTACGAAAGAAGTGCTAGTTTGCCCCTAGAGCCAACCTGACCTGACCTCTCATCTTTCCGGATTTTGGACACTGCTACCAGACTTCTCAGAGATCAACTTCTTGCAATCCACGTCGGAATGCCGTAGCACGGCTATCCCAGGGCTCCAGGAAAAATCGACTTGAACAGCTTTCAACGGCGTTCATAAAAAAGGGAAAAATTCTCATGCTGCAGCAGAACCCACACGCAAACAGTCTCGAGACCTTCAAAGATGATGAATACGTGGAAACGAGTTAGTCGCAGGAAGTACCGAAATCCGCACAGTATGTGCTGTTGTATCATGTGAAAAGAAATTCTCCGTTGAACCCCTCGTGGTCTGCATCGATTCCCAGACCTCTTCACTCATTCCTTTGTCACAGGTTTCACATATAAAACAGCAAGAGTGTCACATATAAGTACAGATCGTCATCGAAATGGTTCCCTACTTAACCAGTGTTGGCATATCTGATGGTACGTATACTCTCTAGCAATTTTGTGAACTACCTCAGTGAAGACGACTATGTCACCATGTAACAACATCGTCTAAGCCTAATGGTACAGCTGGATTACTTACTTATTGAAAGAAATGACACTCAAGATCCAATTCGTATGCACGTAAGTCCTTTACACACACACGCATACATGGATATGTGCATGTTTACAAAAAGACATGTGTACATTCGTCTCAGCAGAAGGAAAAATTCTACGGCCTAAATCCACCATGCTCTCGGGTTTTATATAATGTTACCTTCGTTCGCCGTTTTTGGTTTATCTGCAGCCTTAGAACGTGCTACGTTGCAACGGAACTAACTGCTAAGAGAGCTTTCACTGAGAGAGGCGTATATATTAGTGCAAAAGTGAACACCTGCGATTCTTTTTTCTTACCTTTACTAGTATTACGGTTACTATATTATTTAAAAACATATTTATTTGCTAGCGATTGCTGTAATAAAACTGAAACGTGGGAAAAGACTATTTACCTAGGGAACAACATGCATTAATTGATTGCTTTTTCTTAGGTTAGTTTCGTTTTTGAAAATACCCTAGTGCTTGTAATTTTTGCCTCTGGTAACGCATCTGGGATGCGACTTCTATTTGGAAAACTGTCAAGTCTTTTCAGATTGACTTTTTTAACGGACTTTATTTCAACTTCTTGTGTCTTACGGCAATTGATTTTGGGCAGCTTGTTCCAACAAGGTCCGTTTTATCGTCTTTTTTACTCTAGTTCATTGGATTTCTTGAGCGATCAAATGCAAGTCTTTTTATGTTTAGAGTGGCATTTCTACCAATTACGTTTCTTTACGTTTGCCTTGGATTGGCGATAACAACAATTGCTATAGGTGGGGACGGATTTTGTCGAAATAACACTTTTTTACACTGTCTTTTACATTTTTTTACATTTTTTACACTTAAAAACCGTCTCATCTGTATGAAAACAGGTAATTAAGATGTTGGCTCGGAATATATGAAGAAATTGCATTACCTCGGGAAGAAAATGAAAGATGCGGCGTCGACAAAGATTTGGTTTGGTGGCAAAACGTTGGTTGCTTTTTAATTGCTTTTTTAATTCCTTTTTCTTTTGTTTTCGGCTTTTTTCTAAACCTTAGCTCTTCAAATCCTCTTGTAGTTTATTTCCCTTATCTTCTTTCTTTTCGTATGTTTTATCACCTTCACTATTAAAATCATCCCAACTCAGTGGTTTGAGTGATCGACCTTCATTTAACCTCAGTTTTAGTCATCATTTCACCTCTTACGAACTGTCGTTGATGAGCTAACATAAGTTTCTTTACAATATTTTTGATGTTAGATGGTTAATTTTTCTGGACTTCACTCTCTTCAGAGCTTAGAGGCATTATGATGCAGCCTTATTCGGCGAATATTCTGCGGTTTTAACGAATGGCAGACACAGAAACCAAACTTTGATCTTTCCTAAGCGAGTGACAGCACCCAGATGCCATTCGCATAGGATAACGAACGAAATTCGTTTACGTGGGAAAAAAAATTCTGGGATACGGTGTCAGGTCACATTTGATAGTCAGCCATTCGTAATTTATGCAGATTTTTCGATTCTTGCAGTTAATCCAAAATGTTTCAAGAATTCTGCGCGTTTGGGTTTAGTGTTCCTGCCCCAGGACCGCAACTACCATTTCTAAACTTTTACCGTTATGGCCTTGTTCTCTATTTGTACTTGAAGAAGCATTTAGTCGATGTTTTTAAATTTTAATATAGGTGATCTTTTATGCAGACGCGACGTGTTACGTGTGCCACAAGAAATCAGGTTTATTATACCTAAAGTCATGAAGTCTCCGTATCTACCGTTAGGGTAAACCGCCCTAATGTAATTGTATATCGAGCACCTAGATGGATAGTTTAAAATACGGTAAACTACTCCTCTAGGAGAGCATAGGACACAAAGCCATAAGGGTGATCGTTTTGAAATGGCAGTTAGTGTGCTCACACTGTAATCGAAAACAACTGCGTAGAGAACCCTTGAGACAGTTTCGAAATTCCAAAAACGAATCGAAAAGGGGAACGTCTCACTTTCGAATGTGGCTCGACAACGTATTTCAGATAATCTTTCTAATCACTGTGAGTTTCATGCATTTCTCATCCCATGTGGAATTGATCCCGTGTTTTATACCACGCGAAAGACCAAACGAGTGCTCTCACGCGATTAGAAAAAGCAAACCGTGAGCGCTTCTTCTGAGATTATTAGGCTTCTGCTCCTTCGTCGTTTCCTTTCTCAGCAATCGTGAGGTTGTTAAACTGTTACACTGTAAGCTGTAAGCTGAAACTGTTACAAGATGTGCCAACAAAACACTTTCGACTTGTGAGGTCCTGGGAGCTTCTGTACTTTGTTGAATGTTCATTATGACCGTGGAATATTCGCTGAATCGAGCTGTTAGGTCTTTTTGAAATTCGTTCTATTTGTGATTTCATTTCTCTTCTTTATGTTTTAACAATAGTTTTTCCTTCCAATGCAATACTGTTATATATCATTTCAAAACCCATTATACGCGTTTGCTTTCGCTCCTTATAATTTCATCACAATATAGAAGGTGTTGACAAGTTTGAAGGGTTAGAATTTCAAATATTAGAACAGAAATGCTCCTACGAGTTCCTACTTGGCCGTATTGCAATCAAGCGCGTAGAAAAATTAAATGGCTAGAAGGCCAACGAAGTTTTTTGGAACCCACGGTGGAAATAAAGTTTGGGAAATTTCATTGTGACAAATGGGATCTTGAAAGTGAGAAAGGTTGCAGATGTCCTTTTCCTAGCAATTTGGCCGAATTGAAGACTTTTCTGTAAGAAAACTAATAAACAACTGTTCGAGAACTTGAAAAATGCTCGGCCTAAGCACCTTAACTGTGTCCGTGTGCTCGAAAATGTAAATTTTGTAAGGTCGAATAAGCTTGACAAATGGATGCTCCATGAATAGCGATGAAGTCGACGTTATGATGTACGTTCTTCTTTTGCGCAACCAGAACAACCCTTTTTTCGACCATGTTGAGAGGTACGATGAGAAATGGACCTTCTACGACAACAGACAGAAATTGCTAGTTGGACTGCGATGAAGCTTCACACACTTCCCAATGCCCAAAGTGCTCCGAACGGAGGCCTTACTTACAAAGTGGGCGCTTTGCTGCTGATTTCATCCACCTTATCTTACTGATTCGAAGGTAAACGATTATGACGAAGTATATCCAGAAAATCGACAAATTACGACAGAAACGTGAACGACCGTGGCTCACATTGCTCGACGTAAAAGCACCAATCCTCCTTCACAATAAAGTGCGGCTACACATCACACCATGGATGTCTCAGAAGTTGAATGAGTTCTGGGCTACGAAACTCTGCCTGGCTTCATCAACTCATTAAGCGCAGTATTTTTTTGATACTAGTACAAATAAACTTTTTTCCCATTCACCAGAATGGTTTATAGATTCTAATTGTTTTCATTCATATTAGAAGAAAAATATCCAGATCTAAAATATTCAGCCTTAAATACACAGGTCAACATCGGGCATTAATTTCGAAAGACCTGGCATGTAATAATATTAGTTTGTTCAGAAGTAAATAAGCGTTTTTAACTATATTATTCAAAACGTTATAAATTTCTTCAAACAAAACTTCATTAATCAAGACAAAAATCGTTTGAATCTACACACTTTTGACAAGAGCAACATGTTTATTTATTTCAGTTGTATAAAATTTTGCAGTTCTGGAAGTGATGAATTCGTTGAAGGCATTTTTCCGTCATCGTGATTGGTGAAGCATTTCTCGCGCTGGAAATTGTAAAAGTGCTCGACGAAGTGATAGTGGGTAGGCGAAATAGTGAATATGGCGGATGAGGCAAGGTTTCGTAGCCCAACTCGTTCAACTTCTGCAGCGCTGGTTCCGCAACCTGATGCCAGGCATTGTCGTAGGTCCTTTTCTGTTGACTAATGGCAGTCGCTGTTGTTCGAGTTTTCGGTGCATGTCATCGATTTATTGGCAGCACTTCTCTGCCGTAATCGTTTCACTCGGATTCAAAAAGGTGTGATGAATCAGCGCGGCTGCAGATCCACCATAACCTTTTTTAGTGCAATTTCGGCTTTACGGAGTGCTGCGGAGCCTGATCGCAAACCAACCATTGAGCCGGTTGTACTACAGAATCCACTTCTCGTCGCAAGTGGCAATTCGATCAAGAAAAGGGTCACTTTTGTTGCACAGAGTAACTGGAGACAACACTTTAAAACGGCGTTTCTTTGAATCGTTGAATTCATGCTCCACTTGTCGATTTTTCTTTTGTCTTTCCTATGCCATTAAAGTGGGACGACATGTTTCCTGTGTTTAGGCCAAGCTGTTCTGCTAGTTCATCAACAGTTGTTCGTGTGTTTGCTTTCACTAGTGTCTTCAATTCGTCGTGGTGAAGTTTATTGGGGCGTCCACGTCCTTCCTCATCTTCGAGGTCGAAATCACCAGATCGGAATTTCTGGAACCATGTTCGGGCTGTTGATTCACCAACACTACCTTCATCCCAAACTTCATTAATGCTTCGAGCCGACTCTGCTGCACAACGAAGGAGGTTGAGCTTATAAGAGAAAATATGACGAAAATTCGTTTTCGACATCTAAAATTGCAAAGCTCATAGCTGGCGGAAACAAATTTAACTCTTGACAAAATAGGTCGAAAGTGTTTTGCTGGTACATCTTGTAACAGATCCCAGGATCGGCCTTCTAGTAACCTCAGCATTGGAACACAAATGCGTCGTTTTCTTGTTCAGCAATCGCGAGGTTGTTAAACAGCATACATTTACTTCCATAGAAAAACACAATGTAATACAACAGTAGCTGACGTTTCGGCAGTACCACCTTCTTCAGAGCCTGGAAGGGCATGCTGATATACAATTTTCTGGGCCAAATGCCTCAATAACGCTTACAAAAAGACGAAAAACTATGGTAATTACATGAACAACAGCTTCTCGAAAAACTCACCGCTTCTTACGTGACTTCCAATGAGGAAGTTTAGAACAGCTGATTATAATCGCATATGGTTGATGACTACACCATCCCACATCAGAAATTGATGGCTTCTGGGCATTCATCCTTGCTATTCATTGTGGAGCTTTTGGCATTTATCCAAAAAGCCTCAAGAAGTTTTCGCGCTGGTGTTTTAGTCTCCTGTGCATAGATATTGGCTTTTACTTTAAATTAGTCTCCGCTGTGCTTTTGTATCCTATGTGTGCCTAGTGGGGCACTTTATCTTAGTTTCGTTTGCCATCTAGGTGTTCTTTTATACGGATACACAAAGGTCTGCTCGTTTCCCCAATATATTCATCTCCGCCTAGGCACCGGAGATCGAGAACAGGGGCTTCTATCTTAGAGATAAAACAATGGCAAAGCTTGGTGCCAGTGGCTGTCCCATTGCCATCTCCCTTATTTGTGCGAAATATTACCCAGACCATCTGAAAATCGAGCAGTTCCGTTTATGTTGCCTTTTATTAGCGATGAAGTAAGCGTAGCTATTAAACGATGCTTAAAAAGGGCAGGTCTAGAGGAATCGGTAGCGATAGTTGAAATACCACCGGCTACTCTACGTCGTCAGTTAGTTCGTAACCGCCTGTATGACCATCTATGTGAAACAACAAATTGCGTAAATTGCGCTTACGGCAGGGACGGCGATTGCATGAGTTCAGATACGGTATACCTGACCTCTTGTAGTAGTTGTGGGGATGAATATATTGGCGAAACGGGCAGACCTTTTTGTATCCGTATAAAAAAACACCTATATGGCAAACGAAAACTAGGACAAAGTATCACACTAAGCACACATAGGATACAAAAGCATAGCGGAGACGATTTTAAAGTAAAAGTCCATATCCTTGCGCAGGAGTCCAAAACACCAGCACGAAAACTCCTTGAGGCTTTTTGGATAGATGCCAAAAACCCCACAATGAATAACAGGGATGAATGCCCAGAGGTCATACGCGACCTCACCACGTATCACCGTTCTCATCAATTTCTTCTCATTTGTCATACATATATATATATATATATATATATATATATATATATACATATATCACCTTGAATCATATACGGAGTTCAACATTTTCAGACCGCCTCAGAGGTGCCTCAGAGGCACGCAACCGCGCTTCAGCTCAAATGATACGCGGAGTACAGCACCCAGCGTCCACATCAGAGGCAAGCCACCTCACACCATCTCGATCGATGCGCAGGCATCGCCATTTTCTGAACGCCTCAGAGGCCACTCATACGCACGCCACCGCACCTCACCTTGAATGATACGCAGACCACAACACTATCTCTTCCACTCAGAGGCAGACCAGTGCAATACACCTCGAATGACCAAAACCACTCATGGTATCTCGCAATTCCAGAATCTCCTCCCTCAGCGATGGACGTTGGAGTCTCCTAATGGAGAGTACCATAACGAAATAATTTACATCATAGCAAATCAAAGGTTTTGCCTAATCGTTTTTCTGTTGTCCTAAAATTCTACACGGGATCAAACCATCGCCTCTTTCGTCTAAGATTTCATTCTTTCCGAATGGATAGAAAGTGGTTAAATTCAAAGAACCAAGTTCCAAAACGAGGGTAAACTGGGGAATTATTCAATTCACTAGTCGGCCGTTGGGAAGATACCGTACTCTATAATATCGACGAGGAATATGATCAAACATCTTCACGTTCATCTTCCACCTGCGTCACCTTTCGTCCC